CCCCAAAACCCCAAAACCCCAAAACCCCAAAACCCCTCTTCCAGTAAGATATTGAATGAATTATCTAGGCTACATAGATTTTATCGTTATATAACAAGACTGCATCAGAACTGACTTGGTCAAGCTCATCAAAGAGCTCTTTCTCCTTAAGGATGACACCTGGACTTCTGTTACAAACAGGAAGTTTATGGAGCTGTGCCCAAATATCTTGCTTTCTCTTATCAAGCTTAGCTATTAACTGCACTCGTTCTTCCTCACTGAGTAGCTGAGAGTCTTTATGCCCTGGAAAAGAACTATTCTTGATAGAATGCTTTTTGTTCAGAGAAGGAGAATGACTCATATTATGAAACTTCTTTTTCTTCAGATTTGACTGATGAATTCTATGAGGCTTCTTGTAATTTTTGTAATAATCCTGAATCAATCTAGCCTCCTCTTTTTGTAACTCACTGTTTTTACGATTGATTAATGAATTCCCGGCCATTGAAAGAATGCCTGCCTCTCTTCCTCTAAAAGAGGTATCTTTGCTATCACTGATAATTTTCTGGTCACACGATTTTTTCACACTACGATAGTTTTGAACTTTATGATTCCTTGTGTCTTTGTTATCGAACGGCACATATGATCCTGCCCTCACTCTCCAATCTATTGCTTAAGATTATGATTTACTTCTCTTCACTGGCTTTACTTGTGATTCTCTATCTCTCTGGTCTAATTCATAGAAAATTAATTAACTTTTTGAAAGATTTTAACAAAGGAAAATAAATTTACCTTTCTCAGCTTTCTTATTTTTGAAATTCTACTTGCTTTCTCTTGAGCATTTCTTTATACTGCTTCTTAAATTTTTTCCTGTTTTCATGGGCTAGGATCGAGCTAGAAAATACCACATTAAAGATGACTCTCCAAATAGCAAGAATATTCTAGAATCATTATTCATGAGGATATATTATGAGTTACTCAAAGTTTTCTTTGGGCTGAAATGCATAATTTAAGCTCTTCTTCTCCCTTCTTTGGACTTGTTGAAGACTTCTCATTATATTTGAGCTTTTTAATTTAATATAAATACCAATTATTCTAAGATTAAAGGGGTTTTGGGGTTTTGGGGTTTTGGGG